TCTTCGTAATTGTGCGGAATCAGGTAAAAATTATATCTGTGTAAAATTATGTATTTAAATGCGATTGTATAGCTGCTTTTGAAAATGAAATCGCCGGAAAGACAGTTGTCTTTGCTGAACTTTGTGTTCTCTTCTTTCTCTAATGTTTTAATGGGTATTTTCCACGAATTAATACTCTGGCAATTTCGCCTGCCCTATCGAAAATACTAATTCACCTATGGTCGTTATTATCACTATAATTATTTATTATTATTTATTGTTTCCTTTAATTTCTAGAGGAACATAGGGCTTCAGCCGTGCGTCTTCATTGCGTTTGGTTCTCTGCCAACCTTTTCACTTGGCTCCACGTCTGCCCGCATGCTTTCATCTCCACTTCACAGGACCTCCTCCAAGTCACCCTTGGACGACCAACAAATCTTGATTAAGCCTATGTATATATATATAAATATATATGTATTTGAACTCATAAAGCAATCACTTATATGTTGTTCCTTTTGTAGACATTTGAATTACGTCATGAATTCAATGCCTCTTTATTAAATTTACGTGATAAAAAAATGATGATACTGGAGGAATTGAAAAGAATAGATGGACAGTTAGAAAAAGTGAATTGTGATTTACCCGTAGAAGAAATTGGCATACGGTTACACTTGGAAGAACTTGATATAGAAGAATATCCAGAAAAGTAAGTGCAAGAAGAACATATATATATATTCTTTATTATTAGTAATAATGTTATTTTAACAACATAAGACAAGGGCCGGACAACAGATCATTTATCCAGAAAATCAACAGATATTTATAGATTTTCATGTACATTATTATTATTCGTTATTGTTAGCAGAGAAGCCACATCCTCTGATTGGTTATTTTCTTGCTGAAGGTTATTCTGTTATCTCTTTGAGACCGTTTTTCAGAAAGTTAGGCCATATATCTGCGAATCATATCCGCCCTCTCAAAGTCTTCTGTGATTGGTTGTTGAGTTCCTCAAGATAACGCTTAAATAACTATCCTATAAAATTCATTAGGAAGATCAGTAAAGGCCAAAAACAAAATGAAAATAATTGTGAAACGAGCAGTGATAACATAAATAAAAGAGAATATAAGTCATCTACTGTTATACCATATAAGGAGAGGACATCTGCGACCCTCCCTGCGTAGGATTCCTAATAAAGCAGGAATTAAGGTGGCAATCAAACCTACAAACTCATTAAGAGACAGGCTCTGTAGGCTAAAAGACCCGGTGGACCCAATGAGACAAAATAATAGAATTTACAAAATACCTTGCAATGACTATGAGTGTGGTCAACTACATAGGTCAAACTAGTAGATCAGGAGTAGTGAGATCGCCTGTCAGAACATAAGAATTTAGCTAAGGTAAGAATGGTTGATCCCGAGAAGATAAGTAATTTAGAAAAACGCTCAGCAACTGCACTTCACTCATTAACACACAACCACACATAATAGAGTTGGAGAGGGTCAAAATCCTAAGAAGTAATATAGGTAGGTGGAGAGAGAGGCTGATTACGGAATCCTGCCTGGTTCATTGAGTCTACACCAAACACAACACATACAACAGAAATAACTCAATGCAAATACCGGAAATATGGAAGATATTATTACCACCAGTCAGTCAAATCAGAGGAGGATAATAAATAATCTCAAAATTCTATTTCAATTCAAACACATCACAACATTCTAACAAGTGACTTATTATGACTATAAAAACACTCGTCTTATTTCTCATCTTGTCGTACTTGACTGATAACACTAATATTATTATTTCTGAATGTACATTACCCCACATTCATTTTTATTCAAATGTCTAATCATCAATTCCACACATGTATATAAATGAAGTAAAAAGTTGTGTGAGTGAGTGACTTGATATGATTATGAGCAGTAGTAATTTGTGCTCGAAACGTGGTCATCAGTTAATATTACTGTACAACACACTGTGTGATTTATCAAAATAAAATCTTATCCATAAAGGAGTTATACTCTACCACCACAGTGGCCAAGTTTTATACTTATATCAAGGCTAAGCTTTGTTATTGTGTTTTTTCTCATGACCTCGATTCAGGACCTCAACATAGATGTCAATTGTTCTTCGCAATTTTGTCTTGCAGACAGCTCTCAGGACATTATTACTATGACTTTAGCTAATGAACTTGCTTACATGAAATATTAAAACAAAATATATCTAAGCGAGGATTATTGTGCCGGAATATTGTGTTTTCAAATTAGATCTGTCTCAGGCTTTTAAAAAAAAATTTAAGCTGCATAGCCTTTACATGATTTCACTGTAATTTGCATTTCTGCTCGGAAATTCTCGGTATCTGCTGATGCGTCAGCCCCTGAAATCGTCACGTAGAAAGTTATTCATCAGTTATTCAGAATGATGGTACATTCAGATGTTGAGTTGCAAATAAGACGAAATATACATCCTCGATTCCACTACCGCACACCATCAGCCAAAATAATGTATATACATGCAAATATATTCAATTAAAACAAGTGATTCCGCAAAGAGACTTTTTTCAGCGAACTTATTTTCAAGTTGTACAATCGTAAATACATGTATAGATGATTTTTTAAAAGAAATTATACCACTTGATGAAATTTTAACAAAGGTATGAGCTATTATTACTTGGTGTTTTCATGAGCTAACATCAGTTAGAGAAGCTTTGGAAAACCAACAGGGAGTACTCAACAGGCAGCTGGTTCGTCCTAATTTAGGACTCTTCATCAGCCTTCACCCACCGACACGGTTCGAACCCAGGACCTTCCAGTTACAAGGCGAGCTCGTAGACCACTAAGCCACTGGGCGAATGGCCCTATTCAGTTTGGTAGTTACTTGGGTTCCAGTGGGGATTCGTGAATGGTAGGGTGCAGCACGTCGGGTGTGAGGACAAATACTCGCCGAAGACATTGGCTACTGGTAGCGCTATGTAGTGAATTGGTAGAAGTTACAATTCATGGACTGGTCATTGGATTGGGTCCCAGTGGCTTAATGGTCTACGAGCTTGCTTACCTTGTGCAACGTACATTGTCTACAGACTGAAATTCTTCCAAAGTTCGTGTAAATGACCAAATTCGAAAGGATTTTTCAATCTAACTGTGTCTATAAAGTAAAATGCTTGCTTAGAAAGTAATGCGATATACATCAGACAAACATCGCCAGAGAGAAATCAAGGTGATCAGTGGAAATGAACACCGTAGAGCCGCCTGTGTTCAGTCACCCAGAAATCCAGTTAAACTAGAAAAGCTTCAAAAAGCATCAGTCATAGGTTGCCTACAGACCATAGAATCAGTTCACAAAATTGATTTTGACAATACTGAAATAATCCAGAAAAATTTCAGAAATCATAAATAGCGTCTATTACCATCGGAAGCACTTCATATCAAGTGGAATTCAAATTGTCTGAACAGGAATGATGGATTGAAACAGAATTTGACCTGGTTACAACACCTCCCCCCCCATGAAATGAAAAAATCAACATGAATGTGATAAGCAGTTTTATTATACACTTATACACGTATCATATCCAAGAATCTACATTTGGTTTTGTTATCTTTACCAACTAGCCAACTTGACAACAACGCAAAAATTGCCCCATACTGATTAATGGTGATTAAGTTGCTGTTATATTTAAACTGAGATTTTGTAAATTCTGGTTTGAAAATGCTTTGACAAAGCGATTAACAGCAGCATTAAATAGCGAAACGTCAGTAGAAACGACAGTATCGTTTTGTTTTCCAGTCATTGGGAAAATGCAAATAGAACTTTTACAATAATCAATAAATATTGAGTTACTTCGTGAAATTTCTTTATGACACACTTATCTTCCTGAATCAATACTCTTTTCTAAATTTTATTTTTTTCTTGTGTCTTATTTCTAAGAAAATATACATATGACAATGAAATTCTGATGGAATTTAAGAAAAAATTAGAGAAAGAAGGAACTAAAAATCAGCCTGAGAAAAATCATTACCATGGCGGTGAACCAATGGCAACAACA